CCCACCCACGGCCTCGGCATCCGGGAGGCGCGAAGGCTCGCTGCGATTCACTGCCGCGGAAGACCGGCGGATCCGAGCTGGCTGCGTGGACAACGTGCCCGGCGTGCTGGGAAGGAACCGAAGGCAGAGGGCAGGGACCCCGCAGCGCTCATGACGTTGCTCGTTCCCTTGTTTTTAAGGATCTTGAGGTGTTACACCAAGCAGCTGAAACGGAGAAGTCTCCGAGTTCCCGAAGATGTCTCAACAGACCAACCTGGGAGAGAAGGAACTACTGTATACAGGGCCAACTTTGATGCGTCATGAATGCAACATGCTAAATACACGCCTTCTGCATACTGGGAGCGCACAGTGCTCACCTGTACTAACCGAGTGCCACTTCAGCACCCTAAGCTAGCTTTTAGAATCCTGTTGCACTTCCCTACGTTTTTCTCAGAAGTTTACCCAGTCCAAAATTAACAACAAACTTTGAAAGGTTCGTTACTAACCCTTTTGAAATCTAAAACGTTGTACCAAGATCACACACACACATGGAAAAACAAATCCCAGAATGCTTCTGTGGGGAAGGGACTGGACGGCACTTCGCTCCACTCTGCACACCTCAGATTTATATTGCAAGACATTTCTGGTATTTGAAACGTGCAACATGATCTGAGTCACTCAGATATAATCAGGGTTTTCTATGACATACAGATTAAGCATATTAAATGAAAAATGAACAAAATCCCCCATTAACTGGTAGAACAGTTTATTATTGCAGTGCACATCCTTGTAACCTGCAACAGCAAGTTAAGTAAATGTTATATGCACACCTGCAGTTTGTTTTTTAAAACTATTTGTACTGAGCTTCACTTTAATGAATAACAACTTGGTACTTTAAGACTTCTTACAAACAAACAAGAAAACCAGAGTTTTCTGGGTTCTACAAGTGACGTGTACGGGATTCATTATAGTTAGAAATGGCATCAGAAGCCCTTTTCTCTTACATTATGGACCATTTTTTAGGACACTGGAGAAGGGCAAGGAAGTGAGAGACAAGCACCAAACACTGAAAGACATCAGTGTAGCTGACAGATCTTGTGCTTTAGCCCTTCAGACAGAAAAAAGTTGATCTGTGAATGCCAAGCAAGCAGCCTTCTCACAAACCACTCTCTTAAAGAATTAGGGTACTGGTTTCCTTCAGAGGTCATGAATTCAAGTCTGGGATTTGGGCAAATCCCAGTGTGGTTTAGGGGCTGAGAATGCACTGGCTGTAGCTCTTCAAAAGATGATGCGGGGGGTGCAAAGCTTCAAAGAATGTGCCTGCTGGATCTAGCAGGCAAAGGGAGAAGGGAAGAGTGAATAGTTTTAGTCTAAAAACGTATCCTACACCACCCTCTGGCAACGCAAATATTAAATAACGTAGTTCCCCTGCTGCAAGCAGCATAAAGGTAATTAATTACACGTGGCAGCAAGAGCACTGCGACTGTTTGGCAAGCTCTCCAGGCATGGGGTGAAGCTGATTGGCCCTGCCTGCTTTTGATTTGTAACGGCCTTGGGGGAAAAGTGGGAAAGCAGGGCACTTAGGAATTCAGCGTATCCAGTGCTCTCCAAGAGCCCCCTGTAACCTCCAAAGACCGCTTTGGGTAGGCGTATCCTAAGTAATTAAAGCCTGTCAGTTGCGACAGGGGAGAGATCCGACCCGACACCGGAACGCGCAGCAGCAGCGTTGCGTCACCTTCACCCTGTTGTGCTCTGAAAAGAGAGCAGGATTTTCACCTGGAAACTCCACTTCTTCCAACTTCTGGGACCACTTCGAACCGTGAACAAAGCATGCAAACAAGTCAGTCGTGTGAGAAAGCATTCTAAAACAGTTTTATTGGAATGATACAAGAATGGTTAATATACAGGTTAAATCCTCAATGCCTGCCTTCTGCATAGGTGAAAAAAAAGGAAGAAATGAACAGATTCAGTTCTTGCACCCATCATTAAGTTCACACAGGTACGGGAAACAGGAAGACAGCACATAGGCAACACGTTCCTAGCACTCCTAAATTCATGCAAGACACCTGCATCGCAATGAACGCAGGTTTTACACACAGTCCCACAACAGGTGTTCTCGGTGTTCTTCGGTTTGTGTCGGTGCCTTGTTCCCCGGACCAAGGAATCATCCAGTCTGTCTCAACAGAGCTCTCTGAGGAATGCTGATGCAGTTTGAACGCTACCATATGGCAAGGGCCAGGGACCAGAGGAGGGAGGTGACTTTGCTTTCTTAAACTTGGCAATTTCCTTGTCTGTCAGAAACAGGGACTGACCTCGTTTCAGAATGTTTTGGGTCGCTGAACTGACAGAATTTGGCAGCGACTTTCAATTATTGCTTCTCCAAAATAATGACTGTAATCCACAAAACTTCCACAGGCAACACAGCAAACTGGCACGAGTATAGTAAGCTGTGTGTCAAATTCCACTTCCTATTCTTACGAACTTTCTCAAAAACCTGACCACTCGTTTAGAGACGGGAAAGATTTTGCCAATATTAAGAAAGAACCATCACCTCGGTTCGGAAAGATGAAGCGAACAACAAGAATCGGACACTGGATTCAAAAGAGAACTGAATTTCCATCCCCAAAAGGTCTGAAAAACGGATTTCGCAAAATTTCAGTGGTTGCTGATAAAGGCTGTTAACAAAAAAAGCACAAATGCGTGTGTTACTCTGGAAGGTAAGGCAACGTGGATCTACGCCGTGCCTTCTGATACCGCGCTTCGTTTGGAAGGCCAGGCTCCAAACCGACTCCCGGGCTCCCCAGTCAGGAAAGAGAAACCATGAATTAAATGTCACTGCAGCTGACTTGGCTCTGTGACAGATCCTGCTCACTGGCCGTCCGTGGCAGTTCCATCACGAGCTCTCTAGACGCGAGCTCCTCTCCGGCCAAAGCAAGTACCTGCATTTCTTTTAACAGAAGGCGACAAAACCCTCAGCTGTAGCGAACGGAACAAAAGCCCCACAGAAATGTTGGTGAGGGAAATTAATTACTGCGCTTTATCACACCTTCGTAAACCCCCTTTTTCGCTTTTATCCCATTCCTAATTTCAGACTTCCAAACTGTGCCCTGTAAGCTGTTTCAGAAAGTGTTTAAAAAGCACTGCACACGTTTTACAGCAGCGGCGTAAAACTAACTGCGTGGCCAAGATATCCCACAGCCTTTTGCTGATCTGCACCACCACCTCTGCCTCCACACAGGCATCGTAACGCGTGTGCGCGGAGCTATCAGAATGACCCTCCACAGCAAGGACTAATTACTTTCCTACTGTCTTTGGATGCTTTTGAGGAATAAGTATGTGATGTGGTGAAAAATGCATTTTTAAATTACCGACACACTTTTTAAACCTGTTTCTTATCCTTCAGGGCACTTGTAATTCCTTATATTTTTGTAGAATATGGCCAAGAAATCGAGACTATCCTGAGGAGCACTGGGAGAACGGACAGATTAATATTGCACACGGTAAATTCACTACTACAATTCACTTCAACAGAGTCGCAATTCCTGTAATAGCTTCGTGATATGGCAGTAACAATGGAAGTAAGTATTTAAACCTTAAAAAAAAGAAAATCTCGCTTAATTACAACAGCTCTTGTTATTCAAACATTTATTTCCTTGTTTGAAAAAATACTCCATGAATCTAATGCCTACCTGAACATGCAGTAAGATGCCTAATGCTATAAGCAGTGTGAGCTGGTATTTTTGGAGAGAAATACATTAAAGGCTTCCACCCTTACACAGGTAAGGAAATGCCATTTCTGGCCGTTTTGGCTTATCTGCAACACTGCCTGGGAATGAGCGCATAATTCGCTGAGGTGCACGGAGCCTTGCCCGCAGACGTGTAACCACGGCCTGCTTAGGCGGCTCTGTGATGACCTTGCCAACGGAAAGGCTGTCCACTGCCCACATCCCTTTTCCTATGTCAAAAGAGCCCACACAGATCATTTAAATGAGAAATCCGTGGCTTTTTTTTTTTTTAATCATCTGTACAGTGTGTTGCAATACAAATCTTAAATATCCATTCTACAAAAGAACAACGACAGCTTTCAAGAGCGACTACAACGGCTACACTACACAATACCACCTACAATTTCCTCTGAAACCAGAAAAGACACTGAAAAATTACTGTGTAATTCAGTAACATTTTTGAGGCAACTCAGGCACTGAAGTTAGTATCTGACAAGGTTTTAGGTGCTGTTTTCCATCTTCTAAATAGTTGGATCTCTAGGAATAACTCCATCTGTGATGTTCGTACTAAAATAGTTTAAGTTTACACAAAATGGACGAATTGCCAAGACAGTTTGAAGTATGTGAAAACCATTCATGTCTAATTGCTTCAGTTTCCTATGCTTCCAACTTTGTAATAATGCAGCCCATGCTCTCTACCCTTTATGTTCCCATTTTCATCGTGTTCAAATTTGTGCTATGTACGGTGAATGCTGCAAGCACCGATCAAACGTTAGAAATCACATCTACATTTCTTGAAGCAGAGACAACTGTACTATTTTATAAAAAGCTGTGGAAATTCCCTTTACAGAACATTTAAGGCAGTTGAAATTCATGCTTGCTGCTTTGCCAGTGCTTCAGCTTCCTGAAAGAGCAGAACATAGTTACACGTTAGTACGTTAGGAAAGACAACATCCACATACCTGTGTCAGCACGTGACGTAACAGAACCGGATGAAGAGAGCAGCACTGAACCCCACTCAACGGGGAGTCCCTGCTGCCTACGGTGACATTATAAACCAAGTCCCATACGGTGCTGGCTTTAACTCCAATTCTGCGCTAGCCCAAGTAGGACCTGCAGGAATACTCCAACCTGTGGCCAAGACCAGTTGTGAACATAAAAGTATAATAACAAGACCAGAGGTAACAAGTCACCTCTGATTTCATGCTGGGACACAAGAACTATTTAGAGATCAAAGATTATTTGAAGGATTGTGGTTAAATTCTTGGTTAATTTAGCTTTTGCCTTCCTAGCAGGGTGGTCAGAACAGCCTGCCAGTCCTTAGCCAGACAGCTCGGAGCTGCTCCAGCAGCCACGTGAGCTCCGTCCTGGGGCTGGCAGCAGGTCCGTCCTGGCACCAGCACTGCTCTGCTGAGTAATCCCAGCTCCCCAGCACGGGGGGAAGCGAGCCAGCGGGGACATGCTCCTTGGGAACCGCTCCTGCCCACCACCTGCTATCCATGCCCAGGGCGCCCAACCCACCCCTCTTTGAGGGAACTTCAACATGACAACATTCCTGTGAAGCTTCTGAGACGAAGGAGCAGCCACCCAGGTTTAGCAGACGTACCAGCTAACCTCTAACAACTCTCAGTAAGTTTCAGAAGGAACATTAAAACCCACGAGCCTGCATTTTCAGTCGTCTTTCAGCCTCTGTAAGGTGGTCACGAATGGGGAACAGGATGGCAACAGAAGAAATGCAAAAGGCATTTTTTTTTTCTGAAGATGGTTTCTACAAGTGTACTTCCGACTGAGTGAAGGTTGACTTAATTACGGGTTAGCAGCAGCGGGGCCTACAAAACGATGAACAGTCACAGCGTTCTCACTGCAGCACTTTGGGGTGGACAGTGTGGTTTCTTTTAAAGGAGTTTTAACTTTTACGCGATGGAGTCGTTTGTTTTGGTGGCTGCGTAGAAATACTGAAGATAACAGCCTCACCATGAACAGCCTTAACATGAGCCAATATGTTAAACAAACAAAAAACAAGAGGAGGAAGGGCTAGGAAGGGAATTTCTGAGAAGCCTGCAAGACTTGTAAGAGAGGGGAGGCAGTGGGTGACCCCAGCCCACAGGGCAGGAAGTACCACGCATATCTCCGTTAACTTAGACGTGGTGGATCACTCTGGTTTTCCTGGCTATCTGCCCAGGCGCCTCGCATCGTGCTGCCGTTTAACTCAGGGCCGTGGGAACAGCCTTGCTCTGACCGCTGGCTCAGGTCGGCCGCGCTCCAGGACTGCGCTCCGCTCCTCTGGCCGCACGTTGCGGGTCAAGGAGCGGAGACAGGATGTCACCATGCAGCCACGCTGCTCGTGGAAGGGCACCCGATCAGTTCACGGCAGCAAAGGCAGGGGAAAAACAAAGGAAAGATTAAGAAGAACTACAAAGCCCGGGGGAAAAAAAGGATGTTTGATATTCTCTAAGAGACAAGTGGTTCTTTGAGTGGTAACAAGGAGGAGATGGTTCCCCTGGCTTTGTAACAACTCCATTAACCAGTCATGAGCGCTACACAAGTGACACCTCGCTCTTTGTTGCTGCTGTTGCCAGAAAACGGAGGACAAAGTACTTCTCTTCAAAACGGGCAGTGGTAAGCTGGAGAGGATTCCTGGTATTTCCCTCACGCCCAGGAAAGCAGGCACGAGTAACTGAAGAGAACAGGCTAGCCTGTTTGTCTCGAAGGTCAAACTCCATCTCCCTGGGTGTGGTCCTGCAAGTTACCTGGCTCAGCTTTTCAGGTCTGACACTACCCTTCTCTCACACTTTCCTTATTTCTCCCTCGAGGTCCCTCACTAAGCACGCTCTCAGTCCTTAAATGATTAATCACAGCCTTTAAGTCACCAAATCCTCTCCCTTTAAAAGCCATCTTGCTTGAAGTGGGGGTACTTAAGATAAACTGAATGCCAACCTTTCCCATGGTTTGTAGGTCCATTTGTAGTCTCAGTGCCCAAAGGACAAACCAAAGCACCAGGGCTCCGCAAAGAGTTATCTGCATTTCCCATGCTCCCTTCTGAACCCTTCTTGTTTAGCATTAATATTGGAACTTTGTATTCAGTCAAACAACTCTCCAAATCCCCCGTGATGACATGTAATGGAGTTTGCTGTCAAGGTCCTCTCTTGCAAGAGCACACAGGTTGATCCCAGCCTCCTTCCACTTTCTGTAGCAACTTATATGCAGAGGCAATGTCATTAACTACGGTATCGTATCCAGGCTGCATGCAGCTATGCTGTAAATGACAACTTCAGCATCTACAAATACCTTCTTCCTCCTCAGCAGCAGGCAATCAGCGTGATCAGACATCATGTAATTGTGGGACCAATAGCAGAAGTCAGACCAAGCGCAGAACGCACGGGGTACAAGGCCACTTGAGCAAAGGGCATCTTCGTCGGCTCACAGGCACCTCCCCATGCTGCAGCATGGTATGAAAATTCAGCAGGGTACAAATGCGTTACGTTTCTCCCTTTCAAAACTCACCTTTTCCTTAAAAGCCACCCCTTAGGACAGAATTGGAGCAACTAGTAGCCATGCAGACTGGTGCTGCAATCTGGCTGGTGACGTAAGCAGCGATGTCCATGAATGTTAGACACGGATGACCTGACTCACCACGGCAGCAAACGCTCCCCAGTACCCCCGCACTTCCCAGATCTCGGCCGCGAGGGCAAACACACAGCCTTTCCTGCGTCCCGTGGTCTCGGGGCTGCTCTCTCACTCCTTGCCTTCATCCTGCACACTCTTTTGTACAGCACCGTGCAGATCTTCCAAGAAACTTCAGTAAGATTTACACGACTGTGGCACTACGTGCAGCTGGCCTCCTGACGCTGGCGACACGTGACGCTGGGGCCTACATCACAGGTTTTGCTTTGTACGAGGCAGTTTGTCCTTGAGACACCACTCACATGAGTGGAGCTACTGCTAGAGAAGAGTTTGGCTCCCAAAACCGTTTCAATCTGACCCACCGCTTGTAATGCTTCATACTATTGGATTTTCATGCCCCTTTAAATTAGGACTCTTCGTGATGTGCACAGAATGACCTTCAACTCTTACATGAATAAAGTTGAAAGGAAACGGCGGGTTTATTCACTGGAACAAGAAAACTGGAAGTGACCTGGAGGATCCTGCTGCTGTTGAGTGAAACATATAAAGCAGGCTTGTCCTGTCCTATCAAAATCAAAAGAGAATTCCAGCCCATTGCTTCCGCAAAGCAGCAACCCAGTTTATAATTGGCAAAGGAAAAGAAGGCTCCAGACAACAAACTGGAGGAAAAAATTACTCTGAAGCAAGACCACATTATTTCAAAAACAGTGACTCTGGTTTCAAGGTATTTTGTAGTACAAAAATCTCACCAAAACTTGACATGAATTAATTATTTTCACTGAACTGAAATAATTCTTTGGGTTTGTGACTTTATCTAGATGTCTTGTGCATTCTTCATTGCAAATATTGAATACGCTTTCACTTGTTCCCTGAGCGTACAACAAAAAATATTCCAATGGTAAGAGACAATTATTATTAGTCAGGAACTTGACCCAGCTTGTCTTTCCAAAGAAACAAAAGCTTTTCCTTTAACTTAAAGAAGAGCAGGGTGGCTCTGCAGCGAGGATGCCAGATCGTCTGTACTGAACACCGAGTTCTTCTGGTAGAAGGAGGAAGATGCTTCCAGGGAACAGAGCATCCTCCACATAAGTCAGCACGTAACAGCGTGTCGCTGTGATGCTGAAGCCCGAAAGTTAGTCTGTGGAGACTGAGTATCAGACCAGCAGGTAGATTTACTGAGGCAACCACCGAACACATGAAAGATCTTACTCTGAGCAGGGAAGAGCAAGGTGTAAAATACAGGTTGTGGTTCACTGTGAGAAATGTACACACCTACCTTTGAACCAGGTGGCGCAGTCAAGCCTAAAAACGCATACACTGCATTGTTCTCTCGAGCTTCAAAGAAAGCTTCGTAGTCCTTCGTCACGGCAGTCAGGGAAGGGGGTGGAAACAAAAGACAGAAGGATGAATCGTCAGAAATCATCGCAGCTCAGTTTGGCATGTTACCCAACCCGCACCTAGCAAGCTGCTTCCTGTGGCCGAATGCAAACTTCAGAGCATCACCACTGTTTAGCACTAAAACCATAGGAATTGTACTGTCTGAAAAGTGACAAGCTGGGAATTTCAGTATCTGTAGCAACAAGATGCTCCGGTGAGCTGCTTCCACCTTTCCCCGAGGGACAGCCTCCCCGGCAAGGCAGCTGTTGTCCCTGGTCCGGCACGGATGTCCTTTCTGCAGCAGCGGGCTGAGCCCACACCTTGTCATCGGCAACACTGACGTCCCCAGATGTCATGGCTAATTACGGGTTAGTAACGGCCACTGTGCAACTATGGACATTAACTCTTAAACCTGTTAAAAGTTAAACCTGTAAACTGAGAGTACACCCTTTCCCATCATGTTTGTCATTAATGATTAGTTTACACAAACGAAGGAAATCAGGTGGCACTCTCCACTGCACTCACAATGCATTGTGGTTGCTCTAAATATGCACACAGCTGTCTGCCAGGAAAATTGAAGGCAAAACCAATGAAATAATAAAAGAAATACCAATGTTTCCTTCTCTGCCCTTTTTTATATCTGAGGCGGACGGCAATGCTGTACAGAGCACAACGATGCAACTTAGCTGCCTGCTAGGTTGGGAAAGAGCAAGCAAAAAGCCCGCAGCGTGGCTCAGCAACAGCAGTTGCCAAACACCAACCAACCAAACCCAGAACGTTTGTGCAAGTCCACCACTGTCCGAGTTACCACATCCTTCCCTCACTCCGATTTCCAAACTCGGCACAAAGCCACCCTACGACTTTCCTTCTCTCCCTCTTCAAGAGCAGCAACAGTGCCAGCTCCTCCAGCTTTACTGGGGAATGTTCGGATGGCTGTGAAACCCCAGGCACGGCAGCAGCTCAGGGCAGGCTCAGTCTCGGGCTGAGGGCAGGGAGAGAGCTGCCATGAAGGGCACACTGCTCTGCATGCCTGCCCGCCTGGTAGGCGAAAGCCTAAGGAATAGCAACCGCTGTTGGAAACAGCGCGGTGTTCAGAGCAGGGCAGCCCTCAGCACTGGCTGTTACAGCTGGAATGGAAGAAAGGACAGGGAACGGAGGATTCAAACACCCTGAAGATCATGGATGTCAAACTATCGTACGTGTAGCATTCGGGTGCTAGCTTGATAAAACGGCGTACAATTATGCTAAATCCTCCCTGAAGCCCTTCTGTTGACAGTACTGGGGCTGCTGGATAACAAAGGGCTTGTTTATCTTGCTAGCGCATAGTCCGGCAGTCTGCTTCCTAGCATCTACCAGGAAAGGAATGCCTGTGACTAAGGAGCAGGGCTCATGCCAACTCGCAGAGCATCTACAGTTACAGCCTTTCTGCTGGGCACAGGCCAATAAAAGGCAATTTGCTCATTCCTCTGCCAGTTGCGCTGCATCAGATGAGACGAACAGGGAAGTTCATGCTTCAGATGGATCAGATAAAGAAACAAAGACGTTCAAGTCTGTGGACACAGAATTAACTTTTACCTTCCTGAAAGCTAAACTGTAGTAACTTGAATTCAGCTACGCAGATTAACCGAACTTCAAAAGTTCAAAGTCACATCAACCACAATTTTGGGTGTGAAATAAGCAAGAACTGGTCTGAAGTAGCTATATCCCTCTCCCCAAAATTACTGTATACAGAACGGTCATGGGTTGCAGTTGGGGATACTTCAGAAGCATCTCTGATAAGCAAGCATCCAGATGTAGGTGCATACTGCTGCTTCTCTTCCTGTCCCACAGCACTGCACAGTAAAGCCCTGTTCTGCTGCAACTCAGCAGAAACTGGGTGACATTTTACTAATAAAGGACAACTGCACAGCAGTGTGCTGAGGAGAAAGGTAATACTGTTGCAATTGACTGGTACAGAAATATTTGCCTCTGTTGTTTGTTTTTTTGTTTTTAAAAAGAGAGAACTGAACAGATCTGCAACTCTCCCTGACTAGCCCCTTCTTGGCTTTCAGCTGCAGACAACTCCTGATCCTTACTTTTGTCACTCCAAACCTACATTTTTCCATGTCACAACCACAGTCAGCAAAATTTTGAGAGCCAAATGGTACATGAGATCACTGTGGATATTGTTTAAAGTTCTGCTTCTATTACAAGCAAGAAAAAAATTCTGGCACATAGAGAATCATTTCTTTCAGTACCCACAGAATCGCCTCACAAAGGTCCAGAACTGGCAGGTTCTGACTTACAGACCTCACAGGTCAGGACCAGACTGCAAAATGACTTAGAAAGCAACACACAGCACCAGAGGAATGCACACTGTGAGCCCTTTTCAGAGGATATTAAGTTTTAAAAATAAAATTAACAGTTAATCTAATAATCATTCAAGCATGGCCTGCTGAGTAGAAGTGCTGCAGGGCAACCTACTTCTGATCAAGCATTAAAATAATTACAAGCAGGAACTGTATTTGAAATATGAGTTTTAATCTGTTGGAGGCACTGGAGTAAGTGGACCGCAACAGCCCTCATTTTGCGAGGGGTACGCAACAACTGATCCCAAGCAGGATCAGAAAACCGATTCACAGTCGTGGCAGACATCACGGCATCTGAGCACTTACTTTGGAGGACAAGCAGACTACAGAGCGATCTGGGACCCACACATATTGGCAAACGCCATGCAGACAGAACACATCTCTCAACTTGCTACAGAACTTACGGTTGACGCAACAGCGCCGGATTTCTGGGAAGGGTTAGTTCACAATCATGGTGAACATGACAATTAGAGAAAACCAAAAACCCCTAAACTTCTACAGTTTATAGTTTCCTTCATAAGAAGGGAAAAAAATACAGAGTAAAAAAAACCCATATCCACAGCGCAAGGTGGCGGTAAGCTCATTCCAGTAAGTAGCACAGTGATTTGAGAATCAGGAGGTCCAACACTAATCTCTCCTCTATAGTGAAACTGGAATATTCAAGTCAGAGGCCTGGGACGAGATGAGATGGAGACCCGGAGCCATTCCTTACCCCGAGGTACCGGCTGTCATTGAAGAGCCGGGGAGGCAAGGGGTTCCCGCTTGCTGGCCGGCTGTCTTCAGGCACGTTCTCTCGCATCCACTTCCGATTCTCCTCGTTGGCGGCGATATCCTTTTCCTCAAATTCAATTTTGTTGGCTTCCAAGAAACCTAACACATCTTGTTGCTGCTTTTTAATCTGTCACAAAAAAGGCAGGGGGGGAAGAAAGCAAACAAAATCAGTCAAACCATTTTTTTCTGCTGCCAGTTATGCAAGTCCAGGGTTCAATGCAGAAACAAGTGGGTGCAAAGCAGGTTGAAAATGGAAGCACTAAGAAAATTCCCAGAATAAAAAAGTATCTTCTGAAGGGTCAGATCAGAGTCTTGATTTGACTCCCACTTAACTGAACAGGCTCAGGTCTAAATTCACTGTCCCTGTACTCTCGCAAGACTTGCGAACCTTAAGGGTCTCCAACCAAAAGCAAAGGTGTGAGCAGCCCCGATGCAGAGGCTGTGCCGAGCAGGCCTTACCATTAATTCGGGGGAATGTTGCTTTTTCAGGTGCAGTGGCGTTTGCTGGAGGGGACATTTGAGGTACAACCTGCTTCCTTCGTGCCCCTGAAAGCACAGGCTGAACCCACCCTTCCTGGGTTCCAGCTTTTGCTGCGGGGACTTCCCGACAGAGAACTCATCAACAGTAAGATCCCTAAGCAATTCTGGCTCATGTTGCTTTGGACCAAAAAAAAACCCGTTTCTGCTCCGCTCCGGGTTTCAGCGGTGGCAGGTATAGTCTCTAGAGCCAGACCTGGCATCCCCCATCCTTGCTCCTCCCAAGGAGAAGTCTCAGGAGGCTGGACTGCACCGGCTGGATGAGATCCCACACCACATGCAGCCCGTCCTCTGCGCACTCACAGGGTACCCAAACGACGAGCAGGATCTGTGCCGCAGGCTGCACAGGCTTTTTACTGCAAAGGTGGTTTTTATTATGGCCACATATGAATTATTGACTTCCTGATACAGGGATGTTCTGCTTATGCTCTGTTCTTCCTCTGCATGACTTTACCACCATAAAGGAAATTATAACCATGCGCACCCTGGCAAACAATAAAAAATGAGATTTAATGGGAAATTTGTTCTCTTCAAATTATTCCCTTCACTACAAAACCAGTCCAAGGCCTGGCTTTAACCTAATTATCTCAGTGCAACAAAAGCAGCGCTTCATACAGATGTTGCACTGCTTCCAATTCAGGTCAGCCACCAGCTTCCCCGAGCAGCCTCTCCATATACGGAGATGGGAAAACAGGCAGCTCGGAGGTCAGGGCACAGCCAGCCGAGAGCCAAATATGGTGCCTGCACCCCGCCTCGCACAGCCCTGCGCCCACGGGCCACGGCGCTGGAGCGGGCTGGGAGCCAGAGGAGGGGCGCAAGGTTTTAGTGGAGGAAGAGTGCTGCCCTGAAAGGTGCGGTTTGGGAGAGCCTGATGTCTCCAAAGAGGAGATGGCCATGCCTTGGCAGTCTTCAAGCATCCATTGACGCGTTCTTCAGCACCTCCCATGGAGCCATCGCTGCTGGCTGCGTGACAATCCTGGATAGGGAACCGGTCCAGGTTAAACTGGACCTTGGGTGTGGTGGTTTGCTTTTCAAAAACCCGGATAGATAGATCCCCCTCCGCGTCTAGCTCAGTGTAGTGCAAAGGGACCAAGCCTGCTCTCCCGACCAAGGGACAACACGCCCCCAGCCCCAGCGGGGAAGCCGTCTGCCCAGGGCTGCACGCGCCAGCGTGATTCCTCCGAAGACGTCAGCAGAGGAACCACCCAACTCCACCAGCAAGCACCCTGGTACCCTTCAACAGAAGAATACTGCTGGGCATTAGCTAATTTGCCTCATGGCTAAAAATAAGTAAGTTAAAACCACCCCAAGGAAATAATTCATGTTACAGGCATATTACATTTCTCAGCAGACTCGAACCTACTGGTGAGAGATTTCTCTGCTTGCCTTTAGTAACACAGGTCACAGCAGGAGGGAACAGTCCAGGGAAGTTTTTCTCCACGTGCCATGCAGCTCAGACAAAGGGAATAAAAAGCGAGCACTTCCTTAACTCTTCTGTAGGACTAAAATAAGGGAAAGGTCTTTGTAATTGTAAACTCCTCTGTCAGTGGTCAGTACCTCAGACAACATACTGACCTGGGAATTAATGGAATTTTCCCCCTGACTAGTTACATTTTAATTAACCATTTCCCACCATTTGTAACTTGCAGATGCTTCTTCATAATAAAGGTGCTTCTTCAACATGAAGAAAATGCTCTGGCTACCCTATGTTGTCATTATTTCACATGGTGTACTTACACAGTTTCCCACCTAGACATATGCATGCAAAACATCTCTCTGGACACTGCCACGTTGCCTGTTTTGTTCTATTTTCACTCCTTCTCCCAGCTTCACGGAGCAAGGACAGTCTCTGGGTTGTTTTTTCAGCTACAGGTAGCACGACCGTGTCCCAAGTTCACAGCCACGGCTCCGAAGGGCTGTAACAGCAGAGAATCCTCTCTACTTGTTTATGAAGCGCTAGCAAAGCTGGAAGTGGTTTTTTTCCGCGCTAGAAAAGGCACTGTGCGGAACACAAGCGTGGCAGTTTGTCAAAATTGCCTTTGAGCACGGACGGGCTGAGGGCGGCTCAGAGACCAAATTCCCTACAGAACTGTAATGAACAGTAAGGCGCTGGTGTTGATGCGTCAGTAGCATCAGTCAGAAACTCTGGTTATCCGGCCAAAGCAAAAAGCAAGGTGGAAGATTAAGAGGTGATGTCTTCCTCCGGGCTCCTCAGACGAGTCGTCCAACCCCAGCGACGAGCGCTTACACCAGAGCATTAAATATCCAGAGAAAGACGGCACCGAGCTGCCAGATCGCATCACTGTATGGGATTTTATTTAGAAAACTTCTATTAATCTCAGGCAGTAGAATACCACTGAGAGGGAAGTGCTGAAAATAGAGCAAGAGACGTCTGGCTGCTGCTTCAGGGTGTTTTGTCTTACTCGAAAGGGCATATGCACTCCCCAGGACAAGAGCCTGGAGGATGGTTCCTGCTGCCCATGTTTGGGAAGGAGCGAGGAGCCCTTCTTCAGGATGCGCCTGTCAACATGCAGCACTCGCTTCCCAAAAAATCCTCTCCCAGTTGCCTAACCGGGCATGGACACCAGCCAGTGTCTTTCCAGATACCGCACCTCATCCTACACAAACAACTGTCACATCTAGAGCTCTTCTGGCCGGTTCGCTGCAGCCAACGCAGTTTGCAAACACGAAAATCCTTGTTTATACCGAGTGCTCCTGACAGATTTTGCCGGGCAGAGAGCACCCGTGGAGAGCCGGGAACGTGCGTGCAGTCAGTGCAGGAGCTGGGGAGCCGAGAACAACGGCACCGAGGCAGGGTCCCGAGGCTGGGGCCCAGCACTGGTGAGGCAGGACTTGTGAACAGACAAACACACACGAACAGAGAAATCAGGGACAGGGATGGGTAGACAACTGTAAGGAAGAAAAGAGGTTGCGTGCAGGACCAGATGGTAATGAGCCAAACAAATGGATGGAGATGGGGGGTGGGAAATTACTCAGCTAAAATGACTCAGGTGGGTGGAAACATTATGCTTTTTTGCTGACATTCCTCAGATAATGGTGAAAGGAAACACAACCAAATGAATCTATTTTTCACCTTGTTTTGGCTTTCAATAGCCATTCTGTAGACAGAAATAGCTTTATGTCGAGTTACTGGTGGTGAAGTCTCACCAGCAAGCTGTGATCTTCGGCACGCAAAATCTGCACGAGCAACATCAGAAGCTGATGCTTCCAGCGGGCTATTGTTTTTCAAGATATCTTTGTGCATGAATATCCTCCTCCTTTCCAGTTACAAGCCAATCACGGAACATCAAGCTTCCAAGAGCATGTGACAGAGTAATATTATGAAAGCGAGTAGGTCAGAATGATGAACAAGTGTTGTCCCTCACACCAGGAGATAATTTACTGTTCTCAGAGGTAACGCCCATCAGTGGACGATGTCAGTAAGGCAAGAGAAACCATGCCAAAGCCGCCAAGAGTAGAGATGGGCAATGTTTGCCAACACATCGCAGTCCATCAAAAATGGAGCTTTAACCCCAAAGTGGGCAGAAAACTTTCTAGAAAATGCTGCAACAGTGTAGACTCAGTATTTTTTTTTCCTCATCCAAATCTTTACCTACTGGGGAAACACACAAACAAGCAACCCACCTAAAAGGTACTAAAGAGAGAGGAGGCAGAGGCAATGCTGCAGGACCGTGGTTCAGCAAGCAGGCAATACGCCATCCCCAGCTCTGGCCGGGTCTGTAAACTGGCTGTCCACGAGCCAGCCTCTCCTAGCACTACCCTGCTGCAAAGAAACAGTTGTTTTAAATGCTTTATGGAAACACACTTCAAAGAAGTTTCTATCTTATTTGGTATACACAGGCATACACGTACAAAAGAATAGTCTAGTTTACGCTGCTGTGGCCAAGATGGGTTGTTTTTCGGGGTTTTTTCAAGTCTTGTTATTTTTTCAGTTTATAAATAAATTCCTTGTTGGACAATAGACGACATGTTTTGGAGACCTATTTATGGACCCTCGTAACTTTACAGTTGGAGTGCTGCTGTTTGGATCACACAACAAAGTTTTCCATGCTGACAGCGTGGCTGCAGCTCTGCCGTTCTGGCATTTGCCATGGGGCGTTCTCTGCCATTTCTGTGGGTCCTGAGGCCTGACCTCCATGCAGGGAAAAAATCACAGGTTTTATCCTTTTTCCCCCAAAGATGTGATTAAATGGCACATACATTGTTGTGAGGCCTTAACTTTAAAGAGAGTTCCTGTGACATTCCCAGCCATGGCTCTCCCATCGCTGACAGCATCCA